CTGGTGATACAAACATCCCAGTCCAGGGATATACCAACCTATATCACAGACACACACACACACACACACTGCTGGGATACAAACATCCCAGTCCAGGGATATACCAACCTATATCACACACACACTGCTGGATACAAAGATCCAAGTCCAGGGATATACCAACCTATATCACAGACACACACACACACACACACTGCTGGGATACAAACATCCCAGTCCAGGGATATACCAACCTATATCACACACACACTGCTACAAACACCCCAGTCCAGGGGATACAAACATCCCAGTCCAGGGATATACCAACCTATATCACACACACACACTGCTGGATACAAACACCCCAGTCCAGGGATATACCAACCTATATCACACACACACTGCTGGATACAAACACCCCAGTCCAGGGATATACCAACCTATATCACACACACTGCTGGATACAAACACCCCAGTCCAGGGATATACCAACCTATATCACACACACACTGCTGGATACAAACACCCCAGTCCAGGGATATACCAACCTATATCACACACACTGCTGGATACAAACACCCCAGTCCAGGGATATACCAACCTATATCACACACACACTGCTGGATACAAACATCCCAGTCCAGGGATATACCAACCTATATCACACACACTGCTGGGATACAAACACCCCAGTCCAGGGATATACCAACCTATATCACACACACACTGCTGGGATACAAACATCCCAGTCCAGGGATATACCAACCTATATCACACACACTGCTGGGATACAAACATCCCAGTCCAGGGATATACCAACCTATATCACACACACACTGCTGATACAAACACCCCAGTCCAGGGATATACCAACCTATATCACACACACACACACACTGCTGATACAAACATCCCAGTCCAGGGATATACCAACCTATATCACACACACACACTGCTGGATACAAACACCCCAGTCCAGGGATATACCAACCTATACACACACATACTGCTGGATACAAACACCCCACTGCTGGTCCAGTCCAGGGATATACCAACCTATATCACACACACACTGCTGGATACAAACATCCCAGTCCAGGGATATACCAACCTATATCACACACACACTGCTGGATACAAACACCCCAGTCCAGGGATATACCAACCTATATCACACACACACTGCTGGATACAAACATCCCAGTCCAGGGATATACCAACCTATATCACACACACACTGCTGGATACAAACATCCCAGTCCAGGGATATACCAACCTATATCACACACACTGCTGGATACAAACACCCCAGTCCAGGGATATACCAACCTATATCACACACACACACTGCTGGATACAAACATCCCAGTCCAGGGATATACCAACCTATATCACACACACTGCTGGATACAAACATCCCAGTCCAGGGATATACCAACCTATATCACACACACACTGCTGGATACAAACATCCCAGTCCAGGGATATACCAACCTATATCTCACACACACTGCTGGGATACAAACACCCCAGTCCAGGGATATACCAACCTATATCACACACACTGCTGGATACAAACATCCCAGTCCAGGGATATACCAACCTATATCACACACACTGCTGGGATACAAACATCCCAGTCCAGGGATATACCAACCTATATCACACACACACTGCTGGGATACAAACATCCCAGTCCAGGGATATACCAACCTATATCACACACACACTGCTGGGATACAAACATCCCAGTCCAGGGATATACCAACCTATATCACACACACACTGCTGGGATACAAACATCCCAGTCCAGGGATATACTAACCCATATTTACCAGGACTTGGGTTACAAATGATATCACAATATTGTACAAAATGACTTACAATGATGAATTACTTTAAACTATGACTGTCCTCCTCCTGCAGGCCACATCTGACAATGGCCTTATGTAACAGTTTAATCTTGCTTTGGAATTCACTTTTCAATTCAAACAATGTCATCAAAAAAGACATCCCAGAAAGTTCTGACATCTGCTCTGCAATACATACAAAGATGATTTGAAAATCTACTATGTAAATGCAAACATACTTTTTCTCTTATTGAACACATTTTTAGTTAGGGTTCGGGCTCCCAGCACTAGCTCCAGAGGTGCATCATGTCTCTGTTAACTGCTAACAAGGTCGAGTCATTATTGCTCATGTTATGTCTATATGCAAGGTGTTGATCCAGGAGATGCTACTTGAGCTTCATGTATATTGCTGCTTGAAGGAATTAAGTTGAACACCAGGGTGAACAGTATTTCAGTTATATCATGGAGTGTCAGTTTGACCTGGAGCCTGAAGTGATGCTGGTGAAACCCACATGCTGACAGACCAAGGATGATAATCCATGTGAATCTGGGCTTCGGACACCATCATCACAGAACAAAACTCTGGAACATGGGACATCTGCATACCTTTTTCAGTGAGTAAGGTACCAGTAATTCAGTTTTATCTTGACAAGTTAGCTTACTGTGGCAGGAAAAGCTAAATTGATGCAGTTCTTGGATGTTTCCACTTTGGTGAGACCCATAGTGGTGCCAAACTTAGAAACAATCAGGCCAAACAATCTGGCATTTGTTCCTGGTACACTAAGGGAAGCAACTCTGCACATGAATCAGTAATCCACACCCTACATCATAATGAACTTTGCCATATCTGAACCTGGTATTAACTTAGCTTACCTCAGATTTACAAAGGCAGGTTTCTGTAACAACCTAGTAACCAAGTCTTCAAAGAACAGGAACATTCTACATAATGGGAGATGACATTGTCTGAGAAAGAATCTTTCTGGTTCAGCCACTGAAGAACGACTTATCTACACATGATGCAACTCACATAGGTTCATAAGCATGTCAGTACCTGAATCATTTTGGCTTCACTGTGATTTCTCAAATGTTTTGACAGAAAACAATTGGTGTGGAAGAAAGAGACACTATTAAACTTATAGAGTCTGCAAACAACAAAGTCTTGAGAACCCATCAGAATATGAATGTGAATATTCCATGCAGAAACAGTGGAGGGAGACAACTACTCTCGCACAAACCATCCTTTATCACCCATAAACCAGCCTTTATCACCCAGAAACCAGCCTTTATCACGCATAAACCAGCCTTTATCACACACAGCATAACAGAAGAACACATTTCTTGTTCTTGATTATTTGTTTAAAATAAAACAATATTCTGATACAGATGTGCATCTACCAACACACACACTACACACAACGTATCACACACACACTGCAAGGTTTGTAAAACACGTACAACATGTCACCTTATAACTGAGACTGGAGCAAAGTTTAACCAGATGAGAGGCATTTACCAGTTGGTGAAGACCGTATATAAGACGAGTATATGGATGGCAACTTCCTGTTTATTGATATACAATCAACAAGAAGTTGCCATCCATATACTAGTCTTATACAGATGACTTAAGTAGATTTTGAAATTCATCAACAATACAGATATTCCCCATAAGGGTTGAATGATTTTGTGAAATAATTTTATATTTGCACCTGCATTTAAGCATTCCTCTACTAATTTGTCAGAGGCAGTGATATAGCAGTTAATTTATTCATATTTGAGGACAATGGTATGTCATCGATTGTTCATGACACAACAAACTGATAACATAAGATGAACACTGATCATTTGATGGTCCTACTGCCACAGTCTGGGAGGCTTGTCCGGGCGAATGTCCGCTACAACTGTTGTTGTTCTGATTGGTTTTTAGTGCTGCACTCAGTAATAAGTCACCTCCATCATGGTGGCATTCTTGAAAAGTATTTAGAAGTTGGATGAACATAAACACATAACACAAGAAGTTGTTATCCATAAAACCTGTCATGTATTAACTATCATGTTGGTGTTTGGAGCAAACGATCCAGTGATTGATATGAGCAGCCATCACACAAAGATGTAAACACAATTCCACGGTTGTCTTTGATCCTCACAAGTGACGTCCAATCAACAAATTCGGACCACCCAATCCCCTTAGACTTAGTCACCTGTTATGACAAGCATTGGTTGCTTGGGACCTAAATCTTTCCCCTTATGACTTATATGTTGTCTTATTGTACACATTTAGCACACACACTGCCCACCTTGCTCATACATTCTCAGCTTGTTATCAGTCCACTGCTAAACAGTTTTAAACTTTGCATCAGCTTTGAAGTACAGTACATAATATGGATGCTATTTGTTCATGTTTCTATGCTCGTGAAGAGTATGTATAGTCAAAACATTCCACTTTATTTATTTCACACAACACTTGCTTGCCTTCACAACTTTACTTTCATTACATGAATATTACTTTAATCTTACATGAGCATATTTTATGATTGCTTCATACAACCTAAATGATGGCCCGACTATGGCAGCTAATAAACCATGATGTGTAAATGTTTGATGGGACACAGATTGGGAATGAAAAACTGAGACTGGGTCTGAGGCTGGAGTCTCATGAGGACAGAGCTGTAATTAAAGTAGGAAACAAGACACAGACTGTCTCCCAGTCACACTGTCCATCAGACCAGTTCTGAAAGACTGAAGCACCATCACAAGGTCCATGCTTGAGTTACCTCCCTTACACCATCACCCCATGTAAGTTCCTCTTACCTTTATTAAAGATTACCTGATTTATTTTAATTGAATTGGTGGCTCTTATTTCAGCAATCCTGGTAACAATATTTACTGAGAACATAACAACATAACCAAGAATTATGGGTTTTCAAACACCTTAGTAACCTATCTTAAACCGTTCGCACTGTCAGCTTACATCGCAGAAGTCCTGCAATACAGAATCAGGCCAGACCAATTTTATTTCTTGTTTTATGGATCCGCTGGCTGTATTTTTTCAAGAATAAGAAAAAAATAAAATTAATTTTCCCCGGTCAAAAAATAAAATCCTTATATTTTTATTAGCCCAAAATGTTAAACTTTTAATATTTAGATGGAATATTACTTTGACTGGTGATTTTATTATATTTTTTTCCCTCCTGCCTTTAGGTTTTCTGTGGATAAAAATTCGTAAAACAAGACATAAAATTGGTCTGGCCTGATGCTGTTTTTCCAAAGACCTGTTGATCCTGGTACTTATGACAGTCAATTGCAATACACAACAAAATGGATCTCTGATTCTGAATACATTCAATGTAAATCTTTTCCAAGTTAGAACATCAAAGATCGGGTGCAACATGTCTCAATTAAATGAAAATCTCTTGTACACTTAACAACTAATAAACATAGAGGACTCGAGTATAATACTAACTCCAATCAATGTATATTTTCGGCAAGAATATGTGTATGTTGACAATGGTGCCAGACCTTATATAACTGAGAACATTGTTCTGTGACAATGTGAGGAACTACGGTCATGATGCATGCAGGAGTGACCTCCCTTGCACCATATCTTGCTGAGTATTATCATTGTGGGACTTCCACATCCAACTCCAAAGAAGGCATCCTTGATCCATGAAGAATCTGTCTGAAGTCTGTATAATGGTTATATTTCCCTAGCTGTACAGAAATATACAAACAGGAGGCATCCATTGTGGAGAAACTACAGAGCTATCGTCAGAGGACCACTTTCATCTCCAGGCCTGAGTACTACAACATACTGGGCAACAATCCATGTCTCCAAGACATAGTGATGGAATATTCAGGTCAGTACAGTGATAAACACCAGTTACGAATATTAATACACACAAAATTTATATGTGCAGATATCTTCCATATGAAATGGATGAACACTTGTGGACTGGGTAACCATATTTCACGACTTGTGTTTATATATACCAGTAGAAACAATGAAGACGAGGATTGACATGGTTTAACATCTTTCACATCTTCCAATGAAACAATTAGATCCAGATGCTGATACTTCATCAAACAAGTTGCAATACTTTGCTTGCTACAACCACCTCCATACAGCTCTGTAGCACCATCCGTGACATGTTGTCTGTACCACGTACATCAGGCCACAAGCTTCATCTGTGTTCAGCTGTACAAACACCAACATCTGAGAGGTGCACCAAAGTCTAAGTGTGAGGGTTATACGAATCATATACAAGGATCTGGAAATCCAATCCAATGCTTTTGTCCTGCACCATCCAATACAGCTGAGGACTATTTTTGTCTCTGTCTTGAAAACTATATACAAACTGTTGGATTGTAAGTAGCACAATGTTCCTTCAGTGGATACGAAGTCATATCTACACAGCAGTCACACAGTGACTGGTTCAGTTGATGTTGGTCATCAAGACTGGGCAGGTCACTATAGTTTCCAGTACATCCTCTTCAGAGAATAGGACAGGCGCTCTTTGTTCCATTTCCCACTTCCTAGGAACCAGAGATCTTGACACATGCAAAAATTAATCTTCACATTGCCCATGTGCCAGCAGCTGACAAAATGCTACACGTCTGTTTCATGCTTGCTACACGTCTGCCAGACGTCTGCTTCATGTGTGCTTCATGCTTGCTTCACGTCTGCTTCTTGTGGGCTACACGTCTGCTACATGACTGCTTCACGCCTGCATGTCTGTTTCATGTCTGCCACATGTCTGCCACATGTCTGCTTCACATCTGCTTCATGTTTTCTACATATCTGCTTTGAGTCTGCTACAAGTCTGCTACATGTGTAGGCCCCTTCAGGACATCCAAGGAATATCTTCCTGTATCAAAGGCAAGGTCAAACTTCATCTTCCTTGGAATCTTCATTAACCGTCCTGTTTTTTAGTAATGAATTGAGGAGGTATAATACTTGATCCATCTTCTGGTCCATACGAGACATCTGAAACAAGAATGATGGATTTAGAACACAGAAAAATGTGTCTTGACACAGGGTCATACAACATTGAATGATACGTCCATTTCAATTTTCCTTTTAAAAAGTTGTGGAATCTGTAAAACAATTTTCAAAATATAAGCAGTTAATAAAACATAAATTTGCACTATAAACAGAGGTCAATTTGCATGTATTGACCCCATCATAAAGTGCACATACACCAAATGTTACTTCATTTTCAACAAGAAACTGCTGAGCAATGAGCATAGTTAACTTTCACAATGAGGCTGCCAAGTCTGCCATATTTAAACTAAAGTCATATATCCTGATCAGATTGAGGTGTGAAATCACGCATGTAAACTTTCAGTTTCTCTGGTCCAGTTTGGTTCTTGTGTAGACACTAATGAAGCAAGACTGACAATTGATGACATACATCAGACAATAGGCCACAACATTAACTCACTAAACTTTCATTCAGGTGTGCTAAACAATTCCTGCCCAAAGTAACAATTGTGTTTTCCTGAAACTACACAATAAGACATAACATTGAACTGCTTGCTACTACTTCCAAGTTCAGCAGACCGCCTCCGTGGTGTAGTGGTTAGGACGTCCGCCCGGAGAGCGGAAGGTTGCGGGTTCGATCCCCGATCGCGTCATACCAAAAGACGTTAAAATATGGTACTTGTTGGTCCCTGTCTGGCGCTCGGCACGAATGGGTACAACAAGGACTGGTCGGCTCGGAGTCAGTATAATGTGTCTGAGTGGGGTATTCATGCTTCACTGCGGCATGGTATCTCAGTGTGCTAGCACTATAAAACCAGATTCAGTCTGGGCTAGTACAAGCAGCTGCACATACACATACACACGAAATATTCTCAAGTACGACGTTAAACCCAATTTCACCTCACTTCCAAGTTCAGCATGCAGGTCTGGCCATGATTAAACTACACAATAAGACATAACATTGAACTGCTTGCTACTACTTCCAAGTTCAGCATGCAGGTCTGGCCATGATTAAACCACTGCTGAGTGTACTGAACGGACAATCACCTGGTTCTCCATCTTGACTATGCGGGCGCTGATGGTCAGCCTCTCCTTGTCCCGTGAGTGGCTGGAGTACAGGGTCCCGGGCTTCCCCAGTGTCTGGTCCAGTCTGAAACAACATCATGGCAATGTTAACACAGCTTCTCTTTGGTGCGGTGGGGTGGCTTAGCGGTTACAGTGACTGCTCACCAAAGATCCAGGTTTGATTGCCCACATTGGGACAATGTTTTAAGGCCATTTCTGAAGTGTTCCTCAGGGGAAGATACAGCTTTTTGAGAAAGGAGGGGTGCACACTTCATTTTCATCTGTTTTCAAGAGAGTTTCAATGGTCATTTAATAAACTTTCAGGACAAGGGGGGGGGGAGGGAGAGGGCACCCCTGCACACCCTCTCTTGATCCACTTATGCTCCTGCTGAAATGTCATGAAATCATACTGACTCTTTGATAATTGATTCATCTCTACTTACAGAATCATAGTTTTATTGAAATAACAGGATCTGTGCTTGAGGCAAAAGTGCTTAAAATATAATACCTAGTCATGTTGTAATTTCAATAATACCTAATTTTGATGTAAATTAACTGCCTTAACCAATACCCATGCAATAAGTAAAAAAAATGTTATATTGTTTTATCATAGGATCACAAATGATAACATTGACCAAAAACACATAGTTACCATTTAAAAGAAATAATTGATCACAAATAGATATATCGAGACTTTTACCAGAGGTATCAATAAGTTGTGAATATTGGTGCATATGTCAGTGGGTGATTGTCAACATGAAAGTAACCAATGAATGGATGGAAATCCTATTTCATCTGTCTGCCGCAAAGTCCTTCCAGCATTGTCATTATCCACACTAACAGGATAGTGCTTAGAGTTATCCCCCTTACCCTGTCAATCACACCAGTACTGAAGAGTCTGTTATGTCTCACAACACAAGGACCATGGCTGTCACCAGGATGACTACCTTGTTGCCAGACAGGTTTAGCTACACACTTGATGGGATAATGTCTGACAGCCAGCAGTAAATGGATTAACGTTTTAATAGAGTGATTTCCAACTTTCAGTGAATACTGGCTTTGTCAACATGCCACACTCCAAAGTTTCCAGGACTCTCGTATTCAATCAACGACATTCAGTCTCCAGGCAGTAAATGGATGAGAGGCGGGGAAAATAGTTTAAAATCCTGTTCACTTGTATGATTACTGCACTTACATAGCAGTGCTACACAGGCGTCTCTCTGCGTGTGTGCGTGTGTGTGTGTGTGTGTGTGTGTGCGTGAGTGCGTGTGCGTGTTGTTTGTCTGAGTCTATGTCTACTTGCTATAGTTCTGACTAATACTGGTTTTATAGTGCTAGCCTACTGAGATAACAAGCTGCTGTTTACCATGAATACCCAACTCAGACATGTATACTGACACCAAGCCAACCAGATCTTGGTTTATCCCGTTAATCAGTGTATGAAATAAGGCCCGTCCGACCGCCCGAGACGGGCTAGATTTCTGCAGGACAGTCTAATTTTACAGCTAACCAGCCCGATGGACGGGTGACAAAAATATTCAGATAGCATGTCCACTGGCACTGTCTATTTAGTATTTAAGAAGGACTGGTTAAATCTCTACCGGGCTGGTAAGTTTTGAAGATACCAGCCCAGATGTCTGGCTGGGGTTTTGGCTTATTTCATACACTGCCTTAATGTTCAGGGAATTAAAAGAGGTCTTCAATGATGTACTGGATCAGGCAGACAGGTTCCGTTGTACCCAAAACGGATCATTTCACACATCAATCACTGGATTGTCTGGTCTAGACTTAACTACATCCAAGTTGCTGTCATATAGGTATAGGGAGGGGGGTAGCCTAGTGGTTAAAGTGTTGGCTTGTGATGGCAAAGACCGGGTTCGATTTCCTACATGTGTACAATGTGTGAACCCCAACTCTGGTGTCCCCCGCTGTGATATTGCTGGAATATTGCTAAAAGCTGCATAAAACCATACTCACTCACTCACTCATTAAATAAAATATTTCTTTAGACACTTCAATATCTATTCAATTTTTGGAGGTAATAAATGTAAAATCCAGTGTTCACACTGGGTTAATCCACACAGTCAAGAAACATTAGTCCATTACTCAAAAGGAACAATCTTTTCGCTTCTTAAATGGCAACATAAACACAACCCAAACTGCTTGGTAAGAAAATCAAATACCATGCAATCTGTTCAATCCTGGGTGCAATATAAAATATAACAATTGTTAAGAGGTTTGATAAAGGGCGTGTGCTGTCAGACAATGTAGTACTTATTTCCACTGTGATTGTCTCCTCAGCACTGTGACGGAGAGGCATAGTACGCCAGGGGATGTTTATTACTATGGCTGCTGTCCCTGCACACACACAAATCACCACATGTTCAGCCTAAGCCTATCTCTGTCAACCATCTACGAGCTGTAACGACCTGGAGCTGTCTATCTATCTATCTATCTATGGAAAAACTTATATAGCGCCATATCCAGAAATAAACTGCTCTGCAGCGCTTGAGACTCTGATGGAAAGTTAGTTGTTGTATGCTTCACGGAAGTAATGAGTCTTTAGCTGTGATTTGAATGAGTCCAGGTCGTGGTTAGATCTCAGGTGTTGTGGGAGTTGATTCCACAAGTTTGGTCCGGCAATTTGAAAACAACGGCTGGTGATGTGACTGGTTTTAGTGCAGGTGGCTGAAGGAGAAACTGGTGAGAGGATCGAAGAGATCTGACAGGTTGATATCTGGTTATCATGCTGGAGAGATACTGAGGGGCTTGATTGTGGAGACACTTGAAGACCTCTCTGCAGGTGTTACAATTACTACAAGATATTTATCTGTTATATAAATCCACTCTCATACTGGTATATGGTTTCTTGGGCCAGTACCTCACTGTTGAGGTGTTTACATAAAGGGGATTGGTTTAGAGAGGAGAATGTAACAGACAAGTAAATTAATGATGCAAGATCCTATTTTGATTTTTTAATATATATATGATAGGGAACATCTTAACCTACATACTAAAGGTAAAACAATCTTTGACATGCTACATCAATAAAAGTTATCCTACATCTTTATTCCTTGCCGCTGTCAGTATCGATGCTAGTTTTGTGTGTACAAATGTTTCATGAGTTGTAAAATATAATCTCACTCAAATATCCACCAAGATCAAGTATATCATGACAAGTTAATACAAATTTCCAAGGTTTGCCAAGGATGTTTTGATTTTCATCAACAAGTCTTGATACATTTCTGCTTGGATTGAGAAGGCATGAGTTTTGAGGTGCTAATAGTATCCAAAATCATTCTTCTTGACATATTTCAGTTTGTAAACAGTCGAAATCAGAAGCTTGAGTGTAAATAGTACAGTCAGCCAGCTTAACCAGCTTCAGTACCTGACAGATTACTGATGCCATGGTAACCAGTGATGTCATAATGGCATGCAAGGAATTGTGAGATATCACATATATATCACGTAAGAGAGAAATCTTCTGGGGAAGCAAGTTTTGGATAATATAAATCTGTCTGCATGGACTAGTTCATGGCTGTATGTGCATGTTGCCCCCTTTATAATATGCACAAGACATGCATACATATTCTTTTGACACAAACATGATCTTTATCTGCCCTGCACTGGATGACTCTGTTCTTTTCCTTACACCCAATGTCTTTGGTTAACATGTTTCAACAAGGTGTCTTTGACACATTGTCTAAGCAGATACATTGAAGGTATATAATGTGTGGCCTTGACCGTGACCTGCTCACCTTCTCTGTAACTCTTTGATTCTGACCATCATATTGAGATGTCCCTGAGAATACTGCTCTATCACATCGCGTACATCATACGGCTTTCGAGCTTGCTGCAAACAAACGCCATACATTTGTTATTAGGGAAGATAACATGGTATGAAAATTACCCTCTTATAAACAAACTTATGGTAAAGACAGAAACAAATTGCCCATAGTTTCTTTTCTGGGTTTTCCAAGTATATTTGTTTCAGCATAACCCTTGACCTTGCTGCAAATGACAATATCTGTATACTTTAAGTCCCTAAAGTCGGTGTGGTAGCCTGGTGGTTAAAGTGTTCACTTAACACAGCAAGGAGCTATGTTTGATTCCCCACATTCCAAATTGGGTACAATGTTCAAAGCCCATTTCAGCTATGACATTGCTGGAATTTGCTAAAAGTGGCATAAAATCATGCTACTCGCTCTTAAATTAATGACCTCAATGGCCATTTCTTTATCACCTCATATACACGCTGTAAAAAGTAAAGTTATCATTTTTAATCATGTCATATATTTTATGAATGCAATTTCTTACCTGGAATTTTCTTCTTGAAACAAAATACTTTATTTTTCGTATCACTCGTATAGCTGTTTTATGAGCTAATGTCAATCTGAAAAGAAAAAATATCTTGAGTCATGCAAGATGACATGAGTTGGCAAAAACATGGAAACATTCTGAAATAAACAGAGCCTTGGCTCCACGTTACTGTTCCCAGACCAGTGCATGTAAATGTGCATCCGGGAACATTTCAAAACAGTTATGTTCAGATGCATAAGTGAGAGAAAGTTGTGTAATATTATTGCAGTGTTCCAATTATTTCATGGTTGTCTGAAAATATTTGAGACTGGTTTAGACTAAGCAGTAACAGAAAATATAGCCAAGGTATTGTAGTTCACATGCTCATGTATTTGGAAGTTCAAAAATGACAAAGATAGACACAAAACGTTGACATTTAAGAACTGATCAACAACATGAACATCGATCTGCGTAATTGGAAATCGATGACATGTGTCAACCACATCAGTGAGCCTGACCACCCGATCCCGTTAGTCATCTTTTACATAACAGAATCACTTGTAATGTATTTATTCAAACATATTCTGCATAAATTATGAAAAATATAAAAATCCAAATTTGAACATTTGAGTCATCCTAGTAGCAAGACACATGCAAACTTTCAAATTCCAGTCTGGGAATTTCAGAGATGTTGTTTACACTTCATGATCCCAACTAGGCTAGATGCTGCATACTACTTACTGTACAACTTTCTCTGTTTCCTCTCCGTCAAAGTCGGTGTCGTCGATGTACTGTTCATTCCCTCCACAGATGCTGGGGCGATGACTGTCCTTGCGACCTCCACGGGGTGTACCTGAATATAGACCCTGACAATGATATCCATCACCAGCTGGGCATTAGATCTTCCATCATATGATATCACTGACTATCACTGCTGGCTACTTGATTCTTGCCATTTTGGTGATATGATTGAACATGTTTGTACAAAACTATGTGTCAACACCCCAATGTACAGTCCAGGAGTTGTAGCTGTGAGATTGTAGAGACTTACAGTGGTAGGGGAACTGAGGATGTCTATACTTCTTCGGAGGACTTTTATAGAATTTAAATTGTTCCTGAAAATTATGGAAAAAATGTATTTGCCATTGGACTGAAATAAAACTAACAATGCAGATAACCATTGTGAATCTTTCATATCAAGGTATTTGTTTTTTAAACAACTAGTGTCTGAAGAAAACCTGCATCTGATAAAAATCAGAGCATAAAAGGGTCATTTCCTAGGACTGACAGCATATTGATAGGAGCAAACACTGTAGTGCTGGGGACAAGTTATGTGTGTGCTCATGGGGTCCTTGGTTCAAATTGAACCAAATCGAGTTAAATGGCCAACATACAGTACACTTCTTCTCTCAATTCATGACATTAGAAATATTTTGAATTTAACTTAAAACAAGTCAGTTGAATTGTGAAATGAACTGTACATTACAATATGCCTTCCAATTAAACTGTACACCACCACCTTCCTTCCAGTTAAACTATATGCCACCATAAACCTTCGAAACAAATTGCACTGGGTCATATGTCTTCCAAATGAAATGTACAATGTAATAACAGTTGTCCTCCCTATCAACAATATATGCCTTTAATTATAAACACATTAACAATATCCTCTTGTGTGTTCACTAAAAGACCAGGAGATGCAGCACAGAGCAGCATCCAGCATTACAGTTTGACACATCATGATTTCATATTGCATCTAACCTTGGAATTTGATTTTTAAACTGCTGTTTTCCAAGAAGCATTCTAATTTCTTGCAAAAAGTCATTAAGTCACATAAATCAACAGATTCAATTAGGCCCTCGTAGAGCAATTAGACCTGATTTATGCTGCAAATGATCAAAAAACATTTTAGACAAAACATCATTATCAATCAATCCCTACAACAGGAAGTAAATCGTAGCACCTGTAATGGAGTCATCTAGGTCTCCTAACATGGCATTTTGTACACTGTACACCTCAAGATGCAACTGAAAACCTCACTGATCATGAGCTTTACAGCATAGAATGGATTTATCCTGATTGACAAGGGCTCTATTTCAATAACCCCTTAAGGGTATATTCATATGAACCCTATTATATCTCAACAACGAGCAATTTTGGGCAACAGATATGTGAATGTTTATGATGAACCTAATCCACAGCCTAATACATGCTCGAAGCAAGATATCATTACCCTGGTCAATGAATCACTGTGAACTCATGTTCATTCCGGTCCCCCAAAAGCTTACAACCCAAGATGTGAAGTGTTAGAAGGTGAACTGTCACACACCATCTTATCCTACTGGGTGCCCATTTTCTTGATGGGATTTAGTGAAAGTTACAGCTAAGTGTAGTAGGGTGACATCTGAAAGTTGTTTAATTTTATTAATATTACATAGTCTGAAAATTTAGCAAAGATTATGTGATCAAATGGAATATTTCCACATAGAAATATGCCAAACAGAGCAAAGGCCCATTCTCTTCCCACAGAGGTTACTCCTGTCATATCTTCCTACGTAACCTCTGTTCTAATACGGCCCTTTCATGGTGTGAGCGTTCAAGACTCGTGATTGGAGGCAATCAGATTTAGTTGTGCAATCAGCGACGTTGTTTCAAAAGTGATCATTCGCAAGGCCTTGGTAATTTCCGTATGCTTCGAGAAAAACTAAATTTCTTCCCCTGAGCGATGCGCAAACGTTTCTTCTAGACAGAACTCAGTCATGTTATGGCGGATCAGTGGCGTCTCCATCGCCCTGTTGACAACGGACAAGCTAACCATTAAACGTCTTGTGTGTAACATCAACACAATTCCCCGGCAGATGGGGGATATTTGTGGCCCCACATTTGCTTGTGTTAGTCAAGTTGAATCTAAGTCGATGTAACACGTGTTCTGATTGGAAAGAAAGAAGGGAGATAATTCGTGTTGCGATCTTTTGCCGCTAGGGGATTTTACGAGAACCGGGAAATATGGCCGTATTAGAACAGAGGTTCGTAGGAAGATATGACAAGTAACCTCTGTGGAAAGAGAATGAGCAAAGGCCATGAAAACAAATATGATTCTCAGTGCAAAACCTGATACTGCATGTTTAATATTCTTTATAGCAATTGTATGTTGGATCTTCAATTTACTGTTTCAGAAAATGTTTTCATAAGAATAATAACATAAGGTAAAATCCTACATTGTAACATTCAGGTCAAATCCTACATTGAAAACCTTCAGGTCAAATCATACATTGTAACAGTCAGGTCAAATCCTACATTGAAAAGCTTCAAGTCAAATCCTACATTGTAACATTCAGGTCAAATCCTACATTGAAAACCTACAGATCAAATTCTACATAGTAACACTCAGGTCAAATCCTACATTGTAACAGTCAGGTCAAATCCTACATTGAAACTCTTCAGGTCAAATCCTACATTGTAACATTCAGGTCAAATCCTACATTCACATATATACCTTCTTTGGCCAGGCAGTCTATCATATCTGTGTCTATTAATGAAAAAACACCACAGACTTTCATCATCGGCTTAGGACCCAGCTGTGATCAACCTAATGGAAAAAGTAGGTCATCACCAACTACTGAACATTGCAGATTATTAGTAACTCATGAAAATACAAACCTAGTTTTTCATCGGTATAAGATATTGACGACACACTTTCTCGATGTAGATGATTGGAAGCTGTGGGGGCGCTGATGTCAAGCCGCGATGCTCGACGTTTGCGTAATGTCAGACTTGCACGCCGTGCGACGCGGGCAAATACTGTCTCTTCATTGGTTGGATCATGGACATGGATTTTCCACGTGGCTTCTGATTTGGAGTTGGGATCAGAGGCGTGACATCGCCATAGACACTGGAGATAAAAAAACACACTGAATATGAAAACTACATCAACTACAGCAGCTTAAACTTCTACACTGGAGCATTTTCATGACTGAAAAATGAGTGGTTGAGTGAGTGGTTGGGTTGGTTGGTGGGATATGTTCAACCTCAACACAGAACGTGTGTCTCACTTCATCCAATGCAGCAGATATCTGTCAGACATGCTCAATCTCAACAAAGTGTCTCGCGTCACCCAATGATAGATATGTTACACGGTGACACTCACGATATCTGTCAGACATGTTAGATCCCAACACTCAGATAGTCTTTGACTAGTACCCAGTATTGGAGAGCTGCAGGAACACTTCAGGTTGTTCCATACTTCCACTGGACCCAATCCTGTCAAGTAAATGTGCTTGTGAACAGGGAACTTGTTCACTGGTGGGTAAGGGGCGGTGGGGTAGACTAGTGGCTAAGGTGTTCGCTCGTCACGCTGAAGACCCAGGTTCAATTCCCCACATGGGTACAATGTGACGCCCATTTCTGGTGTCCCCGCCGTGATATTGCTGGCATATTGCAAAAAGTGGCGTAAAACCAAACACACTCACTGGTGGGTAAACTGTGCTGTCATTAATGTCCAGAAGATCGTGAGAGTTGCTGCTATAAGAACTAGTACCTAATGACCAATGTGGGAAGTTTCACCTGTATAAGAGTTGCTGCCATAGGAACTAACTAATAATGACCAATGCGCAATGTCTCACCTATATGAGTTTTACTGCTATAGGAACTAGTCCCTAACGACCCAAGTGGGAAGTCTTACTTGTATAAGAGTTGCTGCTGCAGGTATCTGTCGGTTGAAATGCTTCTGGCGCTGCTTTTGTTGGACTTTGAGAGCAAAACCTGAACCAAGGATACCCTGCAACACAAGGACATCTTGCAAGAACAAATGGCAACAAAGTTGGGCCATGCTGCAATACAGTATGTCATTATTGTTTGTACAACTCTAGATCTGAAATGATCTCAAGTGTATTACACATTGATATACAATATGTCACATCAACAAAACATCAATATATTTTCAGAAAAATAACTAGAACATAAACTGGTACCTCTCATTTTCAATGACCTTGAAAATGACCTTGAAACTTCCATGGAAGCCTGTTAGAAGTTTTTTAGTCTGCTGCCCATCTGTAAATTACCATTTACTGACTTAAGCTAATTGTTTCATCAGCATTCTGGAAGTTGGTGAGTCAATAATGAAGCAAATGTCTTGTTTATTGCATAGAGCAAGATTTCAGTGTGTAGACATTGGCATGAAGATGGGGGAAAGTTCATGGAATGATTAAAAGGTCATGTAAAGGTTGGTGTTTTAATGATGGTTGTAACAAGGGGGTATGCACAATAAACAGAACAGCTAAAGGGTATCGCGGAACACTATGGATTCTTACACTGTTAAGCTGAGTGAAGAATTCTGTAAAACCCAAATCTCAGTGACGGATTCACAGCAATCCCACACCAAGGACAGATGACCATTTGTACTGAGTTACAAGTAGACTATTTCATAACTACATATCGTAATTGTAAACACAACAAAAACTGTTCCCTGAAGGTAAAATATTTTCAAATAACATAAGGCCAAACATTTGCGACTTGTGATATCAAGAAAATATATGATGACATCCTTTGGTTCTCGGCAATTAAACATAAGTGACATAATGTTTGAAATGACCGATCAATACAATCAAACATCTGAGAACATCCTACAACAGGTCACATCAAAACGACCTTTCACAAACTTTGACACACCGATGAAACAATGTCATGTTCCCGTCTGACAGGAGCTTCCTCAAGCTCTACTGTACTATAGTTTGGCATGAAATGCATGTGGACCCGGTTTTTTGAAAATATCTCTTCATCCAATGATCCAATCGATCTCAAACTGTGCAAGTGGATGTTTTGTCAGACAACCTAATCACATTGTAAATCACCGATTTTATGCATTTGTATTAAAGAATCTGTCTATGTAACTGTTATTATATTTAAAGATAATAATAGTATCCAGCCAGATATGCTAAAAGAAATATAACTTCTTTTAACAATGACAGCACTGACTAATTCCAATGACTTATAGTGTAACATGAAACACTCATTTCACATAAAATTATCATGAAAATATAAATATTAACTATCTATATGCTTAAATCTATTAGAAATGCATTGCTTAATTTGGAATGTGAACGACATCAAAACATAACACTTTTGTCTTCATTCTATCTTTTCTTCAATGAGTGTGCATGATTGTGTGTGCTTGTGTCCGAGGGGAACAGGGCTTTAACAGTTGTTGAGTTCTAACCATAGGTGGTCCGATTAATGATTTAGTGTAAATATACTTTCTGTGTTCTTTAAATGCATTTCCACTTAGGTACTGCATTAACAAACTATGACATTAACATTAAAATTAACATTAACCTACAGAATAAATCTCACTAATGGGTTTTGTGGTTAATGTTGAACAACTCAGAGAAACAAACTCCGTATGATGGTTAACAGTTAGCACCCACCTTACCCTATTCACGACCTGTGACACCTCTTCATACCTGTCACGTGCATAGCTGACCTACACTGACAAAACGTTGACCTTTATGACCCAACACTGCCGCTGTTACAGGTCATTGGCTCCCTCCCTCTGCAAGCCGTCTGCGTTCTGCTGTTTATTTTGTTGACAGTTACATAGACAGATTCTTTAATACAAATGCATAAAATCGGTGATTTACAATGTGATTAGGTTGTCTGACAAAACATCCACTTGCACAGTTTGAGATCGATTGGATCATTGGATGAAGAGATATTTACAAAAACGGGTCCACATGCATTTAATGCCAAACTATAGCTCCAAGTTCCTGTCTGACAGGAGCTTCCTCACGCTCCACTGCATTAGCTCCAACCTAGTGACTTCCATTCCAGACTATGCTTTGAAAAACACTATAAAAAGGTCTTGATTAAATATTAAAAAAACTTAAGATAAAAAGTTTCTATAATGTCTTATAGCTGCTCAAAGTTGTATGGCAGTGGTAGCTAAATCTGATTTGAATGAGATTGCCAGTCGTATTGAGAAGTGCAGAAATGTGCATGTGAATATGAATTGTTATTAAACTATTGTGTCTGCCGATATGGGCAATATTGCCAACCCCGCATCACACACATTTAAACTACCGGTACATATTTATTCGGCAATTTTCCAGATGACACATTGATGAAGGTAATATACATGAATTCCTTAAAGGTTGTGGACATGCTCAGAGAACCCAAATCAATATACATCAATATAGTGAGGCATGTTTTTTGCTAATACAATATACCTATTACATATTAGATTTCACTTTGATACAAAATAATGGCAGAGTATCAGGATAAATTGATAAATAAGATATGGCTGCCATGGCGACAGTGACCTGAATAATATCAATTTTCTGGGTGTGATCTGAGGATGTTTCAGGACTGTAACCAATCTCTGTTTCCAGTCACACTCCTCCCCCAAGCATAAACTAATGACTGTAACATATCCTTAGAACAGTCATATTTTATTTCTTGAGAGTGTTTTTTTTCTCATTATCAAAATTCCTTCTATTTGTATTTTTCACACAAACAATTTTCACTGCTGTCACTATTACATCTGAGAAATATTATTCTTACTTATTCCACAGCCGTATTACATGTTCAGTCACAGTGACAGCCATTAATCTGATACATCACATCAGACGACACAATAGGGCGAGTGGTCTGGGAATTATTTGAAAATGTCAAAAAGGATTTATACTGTCCACTATGAAAGTGTTTTCCGGAAATAAAAGGCCTGTTCATCCTGTGTAACCATGTATCCTCCAGTGTACAGAAGACTGATGTTGTCCAACACATAGCCACTACAACATGCCTCTGATTATACATGGACATTACAGCCGATTATCTTTGGGGTTCTATTTGTTGTTCACTCAGCAATATTCCAGCTGTATGGCACATGTTAACAGTGACTGAAATCTTCTTTGATCTCAGTGAGAATCATGTAAACATATTACACACAGGCATTACTTAATTATAACAATATGTTCCATCAATATTCAGTTGGTTTTACACCATTACCAATATTTCACCAATATCAGACTTTAGGCACTAAAAATAGGCATCACACATTATACAATTGTGAGAATCGAACCTAGTCCGTCTTCATAATAGGTAACCACTTTAATTCCCAGACTACTCACCTCCCAACAGGCTTCATAACTCACCAAGGTTAACAACACCTTTTGATTAAAACCGAAGGTATTAAAATAACCAAAACAATTTTGGAAAAAAGGTAAATGAGAAAATGTTGCAAATACCAAATTATTTCTGGAGACACTCTCAGTGATGATTGTGAGGGTACCCCCCAACAGCTGGAGGGAGGGGGAGGCAGAATGATGCATCAGGCTATTACTGTAGCTAAATTACATGTATAATGGACGACCACCTTCAGTGTCAAATTGTCCTGTTCTACACACGTGGTGTTTAACGGAGTGATTGCAAATTTTAAACATATTTAGATTCAATCTATTTTCCCAAAGTGTTTCTGTTGTAAACTTGTTTACATAAATCAAAGATCCATCATCAAAAACAGGGGGTAAACCACAGGAAATGGAACTGCCGAAATGTGTAATTCACTTTCCCTAACGTATGATTCATCTTGATGCAGCCGTGAAGCCTGCCACATCAATAGCTCCTCTGTCTTCTCCGTTTATCAATAATCACACGACAGAATCAGTCAGCTGATCTACTCAGGGAAGATCGTCTCCGGCTAATATCTGCCAGGGAGGGGTTCAAGATCGAGTCAGATTCAACGGGATCTGATCAGGCCGGAAATACAGGATTCTCCAAAGAGCTTGCTTCAATTACACGAGTAATGATGATATACGCTAATCAAGTACGACAGGTGTATGTTGGCATGTGAGAGATATTCGAACTGGCGGAACTTTGACAACTGCCATCACTGACAGAATCACAGGGAATGACATACAAGAGGACAGCAATACTGTAGCACACCTGGATAGAAACACAACAGATGTCATACAAGAGGACGGTAATATTGGAGTTCACCTGGACAGAATAACACTATCAGACATAAATGCAGAAGAGGTCCTGGTTGTACACTTGCACTGATCTACCGCCATGGCTGTGCTAAGAACAATACACAAGTACAGAGTGAGTCCTCTCTAAAACTCCATGGTATATAACACGAGAATGATGGCTGACCGGGATTTGGCTTCATGTCTACGCACTCTGATGGTATGGAATGATTGTCATGCTTACAGTCACTGGTTTGTCTGGTCCAAAAGCCATGGCACTCTGATGGTATGGATGTATGGTTTGTCTGGTCCAAATATCATTGCGCTCTGACGGTATGGATTCATGGTTTGTCTGGTCCAAATATCATTGTACTCTGATGGTATGGATTCATGGTTTGTCTGGTCTAAATATCATTGCACTCTGATGGTATGGATTTATGGTTTGTCTGGTCTAAATATCATTGTACTCTGATGGTATGGATTTATGGTTTGTCTGGACTAAATATCATTGCGCTCTGATGGTATGGATTTATGGTTTGTCTGGTCTAAATATCATTGCGCTCTGATGGTATGGATTCATGGTTTGTCTGGTCTAAATATCATTGCGCTCTGACGGTATGGATTCATGGTTTGTCTGGTCTAAATATCATTGTACTCTGATGGTATGGATTTATGGTTTGTTTGGTCTAAATATCATTGCGCTCTGATGGTATGGATTTATGGTTTGTCTGGTCTAAATATCATTGCACTCTGATGGTATGGATTCATGGTTTGTCTGGTCCAAATATCATTGTAGCTCTGATGGTATGGATTCATGGTTTGTCTGGTCCAAATATCATTGTACTCTGATGGTATGGATTCATGGTTTGTCTGGTTCAAATATCATTGCGCTCTGATGGTATGGATTCATGGTTTGTCTGGTCTAAATATCATTGTACTCTGATGGTATGGATTTATGGTTTGTCTGGTCCAAATATCATTGTACTCTGATGGTATGGATTCATGGTTTGTCTGGTCCAAATATCATTGTACTCTGATGGTATGGATTTATGGTTTGTCTGGTCCAAATATCATTGTACTCTGATGGTATGGATTCATGGTTTGTCTGGTCCAAATATCATTGTACTCTGATGGTATGGATTCATGGTTTGTCTGGTCCAAATATCATTGTACTCATTGTACTCTGATGGTATGGATTCATGGTTTCTCTGGTCCAAATATCATTGTACTTTGATGGTATGGATGTATGGTTTGTCTGGTCCAAATATCATTGTACTCTGATGGTATGGATTCATGGTTTGTCTGGTCCAAATATCATTGCACTCTGATGGTATGGATTCATGGTTTGTCTGGTCCAAATATCATTGCACTCTGATGGTATGGATTCATGGTTTGTCTGGTCCAAATATCATTGTACTCTGATGGTATGGATTCATGGTCTCTGGTCCAAATATCATGTACTTGATGGTATGGTTTGTCTGGTCCAAATATCATTGCACTCTGATGGTATGGATTCATGGTTTGTCTGGTCCAAATATCATTGTACTCTGATGGTATGGATTCATGGTTTGTCTGGTCTAAATATCATTGTACTCTGATGGTATGGATTCATGGTTTGTCTGGTCCAAATATCATTGTACTCTGATGGTATGGATTCATGGTTTGTCTGGTCCAAATATCATTGCACTCTGATGGTATGGATTCATGGTTTGTCTGGTCCAAATATCATTGTACTCTGATGGTATGGATTCATGGTTTGTCTGGTCCAAATATCATTGTACTCTGATGGTATGGATTCATGGTTTGTCTGGTCCAAATATCATTGCACTCTGATGGTATGGATTCATGGCACTCTGATGGTATGGTCTGGTCCAAATATCATTGTACTCTGATGGTATGGATTCATGGTTTGTCTGGTCCAAATATCATTGTACTCTGATGGTATGGATTCATGGTTTGTCTGGTCCAAATATCATTGTACTCTACTCTGATGGTATGGATGGATTCATGGTTTGTCTGGTCAAATATCATTGTACTCTGATGGTATGGATTCATGGTTTGTCTGGTCCAAATATCATTGTACTCTGATGGTATGGATTCATGGTTTGTCTGGTCTCAAATATCATTGTACTCTGATGGTATGGATTCATGGTTTGTCTGGTCCAAATATCATTGTACTCTGATGGTATGGATTCATGGTTTGTCTGGTCCAAATATCATTGCACTCTGATGGTATGGATTCATGGTTTGTCTGGTCAAATATCATTGGTATGGATTCATGGATTCTGATGGTATGGATGGTCTGTCTGGTCTAAATATCATTGCACTCTGATGGTATGGATTCATGGTTTGTCTGGTCCAAATATCATTGCACTCTGATGGTATGGATTCATGGTTTGTCTGGTCCAAATATCATTGCACTCTGATGGTATGGATTCATGGTTTGTCTGGTCCAAATATCATTGTACTCTGATGGTATGGATTCATGGTTTGTCTGGTCCAAATATCATTGTACTCTGATGGTATGGTATGGTTTGTCTGGGATGGGTATGGATTCATGGTTTGTCTGGTCTAAATATCATTGCACTCTGATGGTATGGATTCATGGTTTGTCTGGTCTAAATATCATTGCACTCTGATGGTATGGATTCATGGTTTGTCTGGTCCAAATATCATTGCACTCTGATGGTATGGATTCATGGTTTGTCTGGTCCAAATATCATTGCACTCTGATGGTATGGATTCATGGTTTGTCTGGTCCAAATATCATTGCACTCTGATGGTATGGATTCAT